AATCCCTGGAATATTCCCAAAAATCCTGGAAAGTTTCCAAAATTTGTAGAATGTTTCCGAAAATTTACTGGAAATTTTTCACCTTTTTGCAACCGTAGTCAAAAGTAATCCAAACTATTCTAAAAGTAGTCTGATTATATTACTTAAGATGTGTTATATATGTACTGTGTGTATAAGACATCTGACTGACAGTTTCTTCTTATAAATGTGTGTGTATATACAGTATAGTATATACACTATATATAGTGCAAAATATATAAGTGTGTGTGTGTAAATAAATGTATGCTATGCTCTAATAATGGTTGATTATACCAGCACAATCGTTTGTCATAATGTTTGGCAATTTGTGTTTGTCATTTCAGAGCATGTGTGTCTTTTGGACCACGAAATCGATCTATTGGAGCGGCAGCTAAAAGCCAGGTATGTGATGTATAGACCTTAGGTTAGATGCAGTTTTTAACTTAACACGGATGAAAGTGAGGCTGTGACTGATAGATTCCAGGCTTTACAATTGTACACACACACTGTAAGGCCCTAGATCTCATCATTTTCACAGCTTTCAAAACTGTTTATGCCATTTTCATCAACTGAACAACATTGCAATCCATTGAACACATCTACTTCTGTACTTCACAGCCTTATTTTCATTCCTGTCAAGAATTAAACATGCGACCCTGACTAAGCTTTATTCTTCAGTATTTTGTTTTTATGCTGCCTTCATGCGGTCTTCGTATTTGTGCTCATGCAAGATTTACTCACGTTTTTTTTGTTCCAATTGAAACACAGGTGGTCACCAATTGCAAAAACACTGTCCAAGGATTCAAGCGTTTCCATGGTCGGGCGTTCTCCGATCCTTTTGTCCAGAACTTGAAGTCCAGTCTCGTATATGACCTGTCACAGAAGCCATCGGGCACGACGGGCATAAAGGTGAGTAGCTAAAAGTGAGACAAGATCAACAAGAAACCCAGGATTCAGTTGGCACGCGCAAACACATCACATTGTGCCAGCATTGTTCAGAGGTCTAAGAAGAAGCAAAACCTTCTTGTAAAGCCGAGTGCAGAGTTCTGTTGTGCGGTGAATGTGAGAGCGATGGTGAGCTGTTTTTGTCCTTCAGCACTCATGTGTTGTATGTTGCAGGTGATGTACATGGAGGAGGAGAAGGTGTTCGGCATTGAACAGATTACTGCGATGCTCCTCTCCAAACTCAAGGAGACTGCTGAGAGCGCCCTCAAGAAACCCGTCGCCGATTGTGTCATCTCTGTGAGTGCAAAAATGAATATCCCTAAAGATGTTGCATATAATTGGTGGGTTTGCAGACCATGTCGTCCTTAGCAGGGCTCAACAGTGTGAGCGTTTCACTTGCGTTTGCCACTAATAATAGATATGTGCAAGCTGTATTTAGGAGAACGTGTATGAATAAAAAAGCCCCATGCATCAGTTTTAAATTTAAGGTTATAAATACTTTAAATGGCATAACTAGTGTCTTGATCATTTTAATGCATCCCGGGCTTGTTTATAAATAAAAGTATATATTTTTTTTCTCTCTGGTTATTATTTGGTTGCACTAACTGTATGTAATGCAGTTTTAATGAAATCATTTCATTCGAAGTAAACTATTGTCACTTCTATCCGGGATGCCCCGTCACAGGAAGGAAAGACAAAGAACATTATTTGACTCATTATTCAGTGTATAGATTTGACTAGTATCAGGGTTATTAACTAAAACAATAAAAAAAAAAA